ATTATGAATTTTTCAATTAATTCCCTAAGTTCTATCTCTATTTGCTTCAAACTACTAATATTTATAGCTGAAATTAGAGTTTCTATTTCTAGCTTGCTGGGGAATTTTTCTAAATTTAAATCTATTCGTTTTTGTAGAATTGAGCTACACTAATCTTGGATATAATCTAATTTTTTATCTTGATCCTTAATTATACTGCAAGTATTATGAAGATGGTCTATAGACGAAGTAAAAACATTATTGATTTTATCTACTTCCTTTTTAATATTTTTTGCAAAATTAGTCTGATGATCTATAATACTATTTAGCTGAGAATTATGTTCGCTATGAAGTTGATGTGTAAAAGTTATTTCAAAATTACAACGAAATTTATTTTTATCTATATTGAGGCGATGGTTATAATTATTGAATTCTAAATCTAAGTATTCTACTTTTTTTATACACAAAATTAAATCCTACATTAAAATTATTGAAAGCTACTATAATATGAAACTTATAACTAAATTGTCCAATAATAAAAACTATTTTATTTCCGTAAGCAAAATGTATAAATTAACTTAAACTGTCCTAAAACCGAACACTACTTTGATACCAATTTTTTGGGAAGTTAGTGGTCTACCACTATTTTGATGTTGGGCTAAGAATTATCTGGTTAATTCTATAGTTATGCTAATATTAAATTCTTAAGCTGTTGTATTAGTTGTTGTAAGGCTTCTTGTTTTATCGTTATTTATCTATTTATTTGTGTGACTTTCAAACTATAGTGTAGATCTATCAGAGGCTAATGATAACAGAAATTGATATTTTTGCTTTTGATCTTCTAATTCTTGTATATGCTCAGTACTGGATTGGATTTTAATTCTAAGCATAAAATTCTGATTTTTAAAACTTTGTATTAAAAATATTTCCTTGATATTTCTACTCAAGTTGCTCTCCTTATATTCTAAAATTCTTTCTCTTATTTGGTAAAACTATTTTTAAGTAATGTTTGTTTTCATTACACGTATTCCCACCTTAAAGCTAAGTCTCGTTTAACACACTATATTTTTATTTTCTATTTCTTACCTTTCCATTTCTACCTACAATTTGTAACACCCCAACTTCTGAGCCGTTAAATACGTACAATAATACAACACAAGTAGGATAAATAACAGAACATCTTAATATACATATATAACCAGAGTTAATATCGCATATAATTCGTTTATGTTCCATTATAGGATTACCAAAACATTGCCAAACCAAAAGTCAAAAGGAGAAAAAAAAAAACTACTAGTCTAAGTCTTCATATGAACCATAACTCTAACACTTATATCTTATTTTCCTTCAAATAATCTTCACCATTGTAAACTGCTTCATCACCTGGCATGGCACACCATGAGCTTGGAATGCCCAGTAAAAACACACACCCCCATTTCTTCTATTAACCAATCAACTATACACAGAACAAATTGGGTAACATAACATATAATATTACAATAAAGTTCTATGAATTAGTAGTTAGACTGGACATCTAGAATCCCTCAAAGAGATCCTTCTACCCAACCACAAGGATTGAACACCGGACTATTCAGAACTCCCCTTTTTGCTACTTTGCAGACCTTACCACCTATGCATGCCTACCTCCCGGTTATTTACTGATCAGTGACATTGATGGACCTCAAAAGGGACGGCCAAACAAGTGGGCTCGCTTTACACCCAAATCGTGCCTGGGGCTTGCTTAAACCCTGCACATACCATACCAAAGGGCTCGTTTACACCCTGAAACAACCGTATAGAGTTTGAATACATCTGTGTTAACCTAGGGGCTCGCTTAGACCGCTTGCGCAAGACTTAACTCATTTGGTTTTAATCCCATCATAATTCATGTCATTCATATGTATAAATTATTCCACAACACTAATGTGAACGTCACCCATTGCCAACCCCTTGTCATTTCCCGTTTATTAAATCTTTTGCCAAACAAGTTAGTCACATTCAGTAATTCGGTAATATAAAAGAGCATGAGACAAATATAAGAGAGGAAACATAGCCCATGATAATCATACATAAGTATGGTAAGGCAAGCAAACAACCTTAGGCATGCTTTGAAATACATGGAGACAAATAACACAATAAAACACCATTTTCATCACTATTCAGTTCTGCAGGGCTAACAAGAATGCTTTGGTAAAAATACTTCCAAGTCAAATTAGGGGCTGAAATTGCACAGAAATAATAATCAACCTATCTAGTTTCAGTTACAATTCTCAGAATTTGCATAGCACCTCCAGAAATTCATTTACAAGCTATATTCGAAAACCTGTCTAGATTTGTCACCCTTTGGAAAAACTAGCTTTCCTCTCAATCTACCCAATGATTTTCACTCAAATAAATTCCATTGGAAAGAGGACTCAGAATTATAAATTTTGACAGAAGAACCAACATGAGATGATTTTTCTGGAATTTTATAAAATTGAAAGAAGTGGACTGTTTTTCAGAGACTCAGGACCAGATTTTTAAACAAAATATCTAAGCCCTAAAACACATACAATTATGGGCTAATAAAATTATCACAAGCTCTAAACACACCAAATAGCCTACAATAAATTCAGATTTGAGAAATAAATAAATTTGATATTTCTTTTAAATTAGAGAAGTTACAGTACTGCCTAATTTGACAAATTTGAAAGACAATGTCACTAGCTCATACCCACCCTTTCATACACACCAAAACCCTATTTAACATTAATATGCAACACAAGAGGGCATCTAAACAAATAGGATGAGATGGGTGAAAGACTTGGAGAAGACAAAAGAGAGATGTGTTCTTACCTTGACTCAAGAAGGCTTCATTTTCTTCCTTTTTTTTTTTTTTTTTCTTAGACAAGGACTTGAGTAAAGAAGTTGGAGAATTTTTGCAACAAAGTGTGGAGAGAATTTATGTTGCTTCATCCGTTGGCATGAACGCCAATTTATACAATATAATTAATGGATACAAACAAAAACCAAAGACTTAACACTTACGTCTAACCTTTGCACAAAGCCTAAAGGCCTAGTCATAGGCTTCACAAAATTTTTACATAATAAATACAAAAACTTTGTGGCTATAATAAAGGGTTTGGATAATGATGCCGGGTACTATTTTGGGCCCTATCGCACATCATTCAATCTTTCCATTTTGATCCTTGATTTTGACACTATGATACACGTGTAAGGATTCTCATATCTTTTCTTTAATGGAGCAGGGTATGAGTCATCTGCTCTATTAAAGTAGTGAGTGAAGGAGAAGCCTTACCACTGATAGACGCAAATAATTACAGACACAAATAATTACAATAGCTGTTGTCATTTTTTAGCGTGAATTTTACTGCTCGTTGAAGAGAGGCCTTATCTTCTACAGACTGACTATTTGTCTTTTTCTTCTAATCATCTTGAAGCCAATTACTGATGTGGACGTGGGGATGCTTAGAGGATGGAGAGAGTCTTTAAGGCTCATTTATGGACAACTTTAGTAGATACAAAAACTTAAAAGAGTTAAAAGTCTAAAATTCAAAGTCTAAAGATCTATGAGGCTAAAAGTCTTAAATATTAAATGAAATATGGGCTTTGTGAATATGATAATTATAAAATCAAAAGCTTTCAACATTTTTAAAACAGCCTAATTATGTAGAGTACACGATTTTTTATTTTTATATTAAATCTATGATCTAAAATTTATATTAAACAAATCAACAACTTGCTTGGCACCTTTTTTAACCCCCACACCGATCCTGGGCCTCCGTGTATATATATATATATATATATACACACGGAGTCCACTCGTATATATGTCACTTCATAACTGGTTTAGATTTACTAGTTCATGCGGAGAAGGGTCGGTAAAATATAGGTGTAAACAAAGAATAATGCTAAGGATTCTAAATATTTTACTAAAAATTTTACCAAATGTCTCATATATGGGTCCCATGTGGGTCCCACATCTATGTGAGACATTTGATAAAAATTTTGATAAAATTTTTGGGTCCCTAGCATTTTTGGTTTTGGTAAACAAAATATAGGTGTAAACTAGGTGTACATCACACAGGAACAAAACAGACAAAATTCTCAAATACGACCTTTTCAATTTGTGATAAACGCAGAGAGACCAAATAAAATTTGATAAACGCAGAGAGACCAAATAAAATTTGATAAACGCAGAGAGACCAAATAAAATTTGATAAACGCAGAGAGACCAAATAAAATTTGATAAACGCAGAGAGACCAAATAAAATTTGATAAACGCAGAGAGACCAAATAAAATTTGATAAACGCAGAGAGACCAAATAAAATTTGATAAACGCAGAGAGACCAAATAAAATTTGATAAACGCAGAGAGACCAAATAAAATTTGATAAACGCAGAGAGACCAAATAAAATTTGATAAACGCAGAGAGACCAAATAAAATTTGATAAACGCAGAGAGACCAAATAAAATTTGATAAACGCAGAGAGACCAAATAAAATTTGATAAACGCAGAGAGACCAAATAAAATTTGATAAACGCAGAGAGACCAAATAAAATTTGATAAACGCAGAGAGACCAAATAAAATTTGATAAACGCAGAGAGACCAAATAAAATTTGATAAACGCAGAGAGACCAAATAAAATTTGATAAACGCAGAGAGACCAAATAAAATTTGATAAACGCAGAGAGACCAAATAAAATTTGATAAACGCAGAGAGACCAAATAAAATTTGATAAACGCAGAGAGACCAAATAAAATTTGATAAACGCAGAGAGACCAAATAAAATTTGATAAACGCAGAGAGACCAAATAAAATTTGATAAACGCAGAGAGACCAAATAAAATTTGATAAACGCAGAGAGACCAAATAAAATTTGATAAACGCAGAGAGACCAAATAAAATTTGATAAACGCAGAGAGACCAAATAAAATTTGATAAACGCAGAGAGACCAAATAAAATTTGATAAACGCAGAGAGACCAAATAAAATTTGATAAACGCAGAGAGACCAAATAAAATTTGATAAACGCAGAGAGACCAAATAAAATTTGTTTGGTTCCTATATCGATGAACTAGGGTTTCGATTTAGTGCGGCGACGAGGAGATGAGGAAGAGCAAAAGACGATGAAATCTATTAGGTTTCGTTGGTAATCAATGGTCTAGGGCTTGGATTATGGTGGACAATGACGACGACAAACCGACGACGAAATCAACAAATAGATGGCCGGAAATTGTCATCGTTGTGACCTGTAAGTAACTTTTTTGATTGTTCATCGAAATCTACGTTCCAGCGATTGGGATCGTGCGATTCACATCGCAAATCGCTATGATTTCTGGTAACCCTGGTTCTAGTGTTTAATTTGCCACTTAATTGACACATAAGATGTAATACTTTTCTGTTTTGTTCTTACGTATTTGAATTGCACGCGATGCGTGTGCCAACCGCTAGTAATTTAATATTCAAACACAACCATTTAACATAGAAAAACTACCTGGCCCAGACAGTCATCAATCTTTCCAATCTCAAACTGGAGCGGAAAGACATGGTTGATTACTAAGAAAATAAATAAATTAGAATTAATTAAATAGTTTGGGCCTTCAATATAATAAATAAAAGTTCAAATTTTCTAAATCATTACAGGATTTCAATTAATTTTCTCTATAGACATTTTCTTTGATGTAAGCCTCAATCCATTTCAATTTTAAGGGTATGTTTTATTGTGTTGTTCCTACTTTGTGGCATATACACGATGACTAATTTTTTTGCACCTCATTTTAGTTTTTTTGGTGGTTCCTTGAAGCTCAATGAATTTTCCAGTGCTGGAAAGTGAATAGTGTTGGACCAAAGAGAGAAGTGAGGGAAGAAGAACAGATGGGAGAAATGGGGAGTAATTTCAATTCAATAGCCGAGTCAAAATTCCTAAACCATGACATAAAGGCCTATTTATAGTCAACCATACCCTAATTAAGAGTTACCAAAACTGTCATTATTAATAGAACCAAGCCAAGAATTCCTAAAATAAAATAATACTAAAATAGATTACCAAATCTTCAACTCAATTATTCCTCCTATGCCTTTCTATTCCCCATAATTAAAGTTCCTCAATTTCTATGGGCAAATGCTTTTCTGCTTTGTTATATCATTTGAGTCATTGGTCGATACAATCTAAGCTTTGTTCTTCATCTGTTGTCATTTACATGTGCATGTATGTTTGGTTTAATTTTCGTTTCTATCAAATATTTGGCTGACTATTTTATGTTGTCTTGTTTATGGGTTTTGCTCGTTCTGTTTCACACATTGTAGTTCATAATCGAGATGACACTGAGCTTTAAAGTGTATATGTGGCTGCTAATTGCTTCTAAATATATTCATGTTCTTCTAAGAAGCACGGACACTTCTAAGAAGGTGACGTATCCGTGTCGTGTTCGTGTCGGACACCGACACTCTTTGGACACTCTTAGGACACGTGTCCGATACTCTTCAAAACGTGTCCTATTTTTTAAATATTTTTAAAGACCCGGACACTCTTTGGACACTTGGAGGACACATGTCTACGTTCCAGCGATTGGGATCGTGCGATTCACATCGCAAATCGCTATGATTTCTGGTAACCCTGGTTCTAGTGTTTAATTTGCCACTTAATTGACACATAAGATGTAATACTTTTCTGTTTTGTTCTTACGTATTTGAATTGCACGCGATGCGTGTGCCAACCGCTAGTAATTTAATATTCAAACACAACCATTTAACATAGAAAAACTACCTGGCTAAGGATGCTGGAATAGGTCATTCAAAGGACATTGCTGATCAATTGGGACCTCTTGGTTCATGTGGAGATCACCATCTCTACCAATCTAATATCTATGCTCCTCAGGCGCAGGCCATTTACTATAAAGGTTAGTTTTTACATATGGGATTGTTTGGCATGCTTTGATGGTGGACCAGCCTGAACTGAGCATTGAGATGAGAACATGCATGCTGTTTTTCCACTGCCTTTTTTTTTTGATGGGCCAATATTCAGCTAAGATATTTTTCTATTAAAAAAATAAAAATAAAAATAAAAATTCAGAGAAGATATTTTTGTAATACTTGAACTTAACCATCAAACATATTCACTTCTGAGGCCACACTTCACTGTGTTTGTATTGCGCTTTCCAAGAACAACGCTCAAGGTTCTAAGTGAAATTATCGTTCTAGGAAGATGAACCATCGAATTTGTAGTTGATTGGCAAACAAAATACATGGCAGTGCTACACTCCCATGTCATTGTTTGAGATAGTTTATGTTCATCTAGTTGGGTTGAGATCTCCTAAGTTTACCATATTGCATTTTGCAATTGAAAATAAATTGAACAATTTTTGCAGTTTCTTACATTGATAAGATCTTAATTTAATACCAGAAATATCACAGGGGATCTGAATGGATTTGCTAGTATACTTAATTATTGTGAGAATATATTAGTATATATTCTGTATATCTTTTATAGTAGGCATGTATGATTATAGATATTCCTTTGATTGTGTAGATATTCTCCTTTGATTGTGTAGATATTATATTTTCCTTTTTAGTCTTGTCTTATGGCTATATAATTCAGTTTTGTACTTTGTAAGAATACATTGAATATACAAGTTGATACTGAAACTTACATGGTATCAGAGGTGGTTGTGAAACCCTACACTGTCAATTGAAGAGTGTTGTAGGCCTTTTTTATTCCATTTTTTTGATTTGGGCTTTGTTGGGTGATTGTTGGAATTGCGATTTGCTGTCACCAGAATCGCAAGTCATTGGGTTGAGATCGATCTCCTTGGTTTAGTTTGGTTCGCGATCTCTCTCTTTGGTTTGCGAGATTTCTGGCCTTGTCTCCATAGGTTGACTTCGTTACCTATCTCCTCTAGTTCATCTGGTCATTTAATCGCACTTCTCTAGTTCGTTGGTCTCTCTCTGGCTCTTGCGACCCCCCCCTCTCTCTCTCTCTCTCGTTCTGGTCCAAGACCTCTCTAGGAGTCGGGTTTGGGTCTGGTTATTTACCCATTTGAGGTATTATCTTTTGGTCAGTGTTGTTATTCACTTGGCAACACTGTTCTTATTTACCTATTTGCATTTATATCCTTGTTTGTGTTCTTGTTAGGATTACTATCTTGTTCTTGATAGTCCATTCATCATGTTGGATGATAAAATTCAGGCCATCAAATGCAAACTTACCGGTGCCAACTATGCCTGTTGGTCAAGTGTTACGAAGAATTTTCTTCTTCGACGAAAAAAATGGGGATATATTTATGATTTTGTTTCTCGTCCATCAGACCCAAGAAAAGATGGATATCTAGCTACTTGTAACACTTGAGATTGTGATAATGCATAAGTTCTAACCTGGTTTCACAACTTGGTTTAAGACCATATCGGAATGATCTTTTCCAAATACAGCATTGCCAAAGAGGTATGTGATGCTTATTGGACTCCATGTTTCATCCGTGGTAGAGACTGGGAGCTTGTAGAGGTGATTATCATATTTTGATTGGTCTTGGTGGTTGTTTTAGGCTTTTTTATTTTTGTCTTAGTACGTGTCTCTGTTACGAGATTATGTGTTTTATGTGGATATATTTTGTTTACTCGCCCATATATGTTCTCTAAGTTCCCATCTATTATCTTTGATGGTGGGGGTAACTTGGGTATAAAAAGGATATATGGGCAAATTTGGGTTATATTTGTGATTTTCTGTTGGTCCCTTGCAATTGCGGGGGTTTGTTATAGCTAGTTATTTTTGTATTAGCCTCATTCCTTCCTTTTTTTTTTTTTTTTTTTGGGGGGGGGGGGGGTGGGGGAGAGGGGGGGGGGGGGGAGGAGGAGGAGGGAGGTGATGGTGAAGAGGGCGGAGTTGGGGATTAGGGTTTGGGAGGTGATAGTGTGTTTGATTTCGTTTTCAGTTATGGCCACTGATAAGACACGAGGATGGAGTGGAGACTCCTTTGATCGCTACAAGGAATACAGGTTCCTTTCCTCTCTCTCTCTCTCTCTCTCTCTCTTCAATATTCTCCTTGTATGGCTGTATTATATTAAATATGAGATTATTAATAGAATTATGATGATTATGAATAGGATTATGTTGATTTTTTTTTTTATGAAATTAAATAAGAGATTATTAATAGAATTGTGATGATTATGAGATAAGTTATCTCACAAGATAAAAAATAACACCAGGATCCTCTAGAGTTTTTTTTTCCTAAAGTGGTGTGTTGTATGGATGAGATTTAATGCTAAAAAATTGATGTGACTTGTCATTAAATCTCAACCATACAACACACCACTCTAGGAAACTTTAGAAAAAAAAAACTCTAGTTATTCAGTTTTCACTGTTATCAACCCCCTCTCCTAATCAATTCTAGACATCTGTTGATCCCAAGAAAGGGCCCCTGGCCTCGGATCAGTGTGCTTTCTATCATCAAAGGGGCCCTTGGAAGTACAACTATCCTAAGAAGGGACGTCCACCTGCTTCTACTTAGTAGTCTTAGTTCAAAGCTCCTTTGAGTAATTTTCAGCCTCCAGTTGCTTATACTGCATTTGCTCTGGCTCTTGATCCTAGCTTGGCTACCTTAAGTGTTTAGATTGCTTAGTTTCAGCATATATTGTCCACCTTCCAGCCATCCTCGTTTGCGTCCACTATTACCTTTCTTCATTCAAGTTTGCTTGGTTCTTTAGATATCTATCATTCAGTTTGGATATCTGACTTTAGTGCTTCTCATCATATGATTTTCCATCTCTCCTTACTTCATAACTGTATTCTCCCTTCCTTTCTAGTTGCTGTTAATGTTGCCAATGGGTTTGATATGTTTGTTTTATCTATTGGGTTTGTACTGCCTTCTGCCATCCCTTCTGTCTGCCTTCTGCCATCTCTTTTGTCTTTTATGTACTTCAGTTATCTGCCAGTTTGTTATTTATTAGTCAGCTTGATGCTTTCGGTCTTGATGATATCTTTTCTTCTTCCATCTGTTGTGCGTATGATCGGATGTCCAAGAAGCAGATTGAGATCGATCATAGTGTTGGAGATCTCTATGTGGTGGAGAGCTTGCATCTACCTATAACTACCTCTCCGATTGCTTTTTCCTCTTTTCAATTAGATTCTCAGTTGAGTCCTTTTTATTTGTGGCACTCTAGATTAGGTCATTTGTCTATTGATCGTTTACGGTTGTTAACTCAAGACTGGGTTTAGTCAAGACTCATTATGATGGTTCTCCCGAGCTCTACAAAGCTCGCGTAGTTGCTAAAGGTTTCTAACAGGAGTATGGTATTGATTATGAGACTTTTGCCCTTGCCCCTGTTGCCAACATGACTACTTTTCGTACTTTGATTTCTGTCGCGGCTGTTCGTCATTGACCTCTATCAGATGGTTGTTAAGAATGCTTTATCTTACTGAGGAGGTTTACATGCGTCCTCCCTCAGGTCTTTCCACTTCTGTAGACAAGTTTGTTGTCTTTGGTGTGCTCTGTATAGTTTGAAGCAATCTCCTCGTACTTAGTATGATTGCTTTCAGATGGCTATTACTCAGTTTGGGTTTCATCTTTGTGCCCAGGTTTCTACTTTGTTTCTCCTTCAAACCTTTGCTGCTTTTGTTGCCCTGTTACATTATGTGGATGATATGAGCATCATTGCTCTAACTCTTCTACTATCTCTGAGTTCATGCCACATTTTTTTCGCACCTTTGAAATGAAGGATTTGGGCTCTTTGCGGTATTTTTTTGTTATTGAGGTTGCCTATTCTCCCAAGGGGTATTTTCTCTCTAAAGCCAAGTATGCCAATGAAGTTGTTCACTGTGCCAGTCTTTCTGATACTCCCATCGAGCTTAATGTGAAGTTTAACACTATTGATGGTATTCTTCTGGATGATCCTACTTTATATTGAGAGCTGGTGGGTTGCTTGGTTTACCTAACTGTCATTTGCCTCTTATCTTGATTATGCTACTCGTGTGATTAGCTAGTTTGTTTCTACTCCTTATTCTACACATTGAGCAGCAGGTTCGGAGTCTTCGCTACCTCCGTGATACTATATTTTAGGGCTTACTGTTATCTTCTATTCCTCTTTGGATTTGGTGGCTTATGCTGATTTTGATTGGGCTAGTGATATTAATGATAGCAAGTCCACTTTTGGTTTCTGTAGATTTCTTGACGATTCCTTAATCTGTTGGAAGAGCAAGAAACAAACTGTTGTTGCTCACTCTATTGTCGAAGCTGAGTACTGTGCTATGATTCATGCTGCTGCTGAGATTGTCTTCTGGCTTAGTTGTCTCTTGTTTGATTTGGGCATTCCTCAATCCTCTTCTACCTCTCTATATTATGACAACTGAAGTGCTATTTAGATTGCTCATAACACTGTCTTTCATGAATGGATGAAGCACATTGATATTGATTGTTACTTCGTTCATTAGCATCTGCAGTTTGGCTCTATCTCACTTCCTTTTGTCACTTCGGCTTTGCAACTTGTTGATTTCTTTACCAAGATTCACGCCACTGTTCGGTTTTGGTTTCTTCTTGACAAACTCTTAGTGTTTTCTGCTAAAACACCTTGAGCTTGAGCGGGGGTGTGAGGATATATTAATATATATTCCATATATCTTCTATATTAGATATTCCTTCAATTGTGTAGATATTTTCCTTTGATTGTATAGATATTCTATTTTCCATTTTAGTCTTGTCTTAGGGCTATATAAACCAGCTGTGCACTTTGTAAAGAATACATTGAATGTACAAGTTGATACAAAAACTTACAATGGGGTGGTTTGGCAACTTAGATTTAGGCTATTTTTTTGGTTAAAATTTACAAAATGACAAAATAGGTTAAAATAGCTAATAAGATAAAATGTCACATCAAATCTATAATTATTTCACTTTCACAAACATTACATCCAACTACAAAAAAATCCAATCATCTTCCCAAACACAAAAATTTTAGCCTACTAAAATAGCCTACTAAAATAGCAATTTCTCAAACACCTACAATGTTGGGGTACTTTTTAATGCAGCATGCAAATACGCTTAATGCAGTTCTGAGATTTTGTAGATGGCATGCAAAGCTTTTTGGGTTTAATGGCCATGCAAAATCTTCTATTCACTCATTTTATGATACAAAATTAGATTCTGGTAATCATTAAACCAAGTTTGTAGCTTGCTGTAGTTGGAACAACTGGTATGCTCATCCAGAATTACAGAACTAGTTCCTTTTTATCTTTTGAATAGTTTGTACATAGGTGCGTTGATTTGCACTGCTTTTTGGACCCTTTATTATGTAGTGATGTAAAGTTTTTGATTATTGACTTCAGATCATACCTTAGTTTCGTGGAACTGCAATTAATTCTGGAACTTTTCAGAGTATTGTCCAGGTTTGTGATTAAATATCACATGCAGCTAGCTAGTAGGTAAACCAGCTTCAAATTTGAAATTTCATGGTGACTTTCATGGTCACCGTTCAAGTATGTAGTGTGTGTTCATTCACAGGTGTAAGATCATACCATAGTATAATTTTTTTATAATTTGTGTGTGTAAGATTTGTATTTAATATTGCTTAAATAAAACAAGAGCTAATGGGTTGAAGCAACTTAATAATAAGAACATCTGCACACTTCATTACCTATCTTCAAGTAGTGTGTGTGTCAGTAGCACGGATATTGAGGTACACCACTTGAAAATCGAGACTACATGGCATGGACACATCAATATATTTTATATGTATATATGAAAATAATATAATTTCTCCATTTTTTTTATATTACAAATACATTTATATTTTTTTTTGATTAGCAGCAGAGAAGTTTTATTAAGACTAGAAGAGAAAAGATAAAGAGAGGTACGTAGGAGGACAAGAAGTCCTCAAAGAAAAGGAAAGAGAAAATATAACACAATTACAAATCACATTCAACTCTCCAGTCACTAAAAAGGGCAGTCCTAGTGCACGAGGGTCCTGCCATTACCAAGTTTGGGGATCCCCCTACTGAGGGGCATCACTAAGCCCCTTGCACTATCAATTCCCCCTCCCAAAGCATTACCAAATAAGCTGTGGGTGGGACCCACAGGTGCACTTGGTAAAAAAAATAAATTTTTTATATAAAATAGATTAAATCCGCTTACTATTTTCCTAATCGCATCCAAAACTCAGCCAAGTTAATCCCCCTCTGAGGGGGATTACTAAGCCCCTCGCACTATCAATTCCCCCTCCTAAAGCATTACCAAATAAGTTGTGGTTGGGACCCCCAGTCATAGCAATCCAATCCCCCTCCCATGCTGATAAACAAACATGACCTGAAGTTGATCACTAACATCTAAACACACAAAGTAAGTATTGCCCCAATCCATCGTTGCCAATCTAGATACTATCCGCCAAAAAGCGAAAGCCATAAGACAAAGCAAAAATAGATGATCAATGCTTTTCTCCTCTATCCTGGACATAACATACCGCTATGGACATAAATAGCAATTGGGTCTTCTAATTTGAAATATGTTTATGGTGAGTTTCTTATGAGTTTTTTCTCCATGCAAAAAGATTTAGACCATGTTTGTTTGGATGGTCTGGATAAAGGAGAATTGCAATGCAATGGATTGTTAGCCTTGGGCTAAATAGTTCCTGGATTATTTGGTTGGAAATTATGTGTATACAATGTTTGTTTTGTCATGGGATTAGATGTTTGGAAATGACTATTTTAGTGAATCTCATGTTTGATTAGGAAATTATATAGAATGATAACTTCTCAAAAAACCATTTTGTCTTTTGAATTGTTTACAATGGCAAATGATAAATTTGAAGTATATTTTGTTTTATTAAGACAACTTTTAATTTTATTTAAATACAACATTAGAATTATATTTTCATTTATAATTTTGCTAATACAAAATAGGGAAAAAAAAAAGAAAAAAAAAGAGAAGACCATTATATATTATGAGATTAATTTACACATGTTTAAAAAAGTTTGTGTTTAAATATTTTTGTAAGAAAAAATGAAGAAAAGAGATGTTGTATATTGTCTTTATTTTGAACATTAGAAGTATATTTTCTTTTATTATTTTGCTAATACAAAATAAAAAATAAAAAATAAAAAATAAAAAATAAAAAATAAAAAATAAAAAATAAAAAATAAAAAATAAAAAATAAAAAATAAAAAATAAAAAATAAAAAATAAAAAATAAAAAATAAAAAATAAAAAATAAAAAATAAAAAATAAAAAATAAAAAATAAAAAATAAAAAATAAAAAATAAAAAATAAAAAATAAAAAATAAAAAATAAAAAATAAAAAATAAAAAATATCACGAGATTAATTTATACATGTTTAAAAA